CCAATGCAGCAAGGTCCGCCAATGCAGGAAGGTCCATCAATGCACCATGGTCCAGCAATGCAGCAAAGTCCACTGATGCACCATGGTCCACCAATGCAGGAAGGTCCACCAATGCACCAGGCTCCACCAGTACAGCAAGCTACACCAAGGCAGCAAGGTCCATCAATACAGCAAGCTCCTTTAATGAAGCAAGCTCCCACAATGTGGCAAGGTCCACTGATGCAGCTTGCCCCACCAATGCAGCAAGCTCCACCAATGCACCAAGCTCCACTGATGCAGCAAGCTCCACTGATGCAGCAAGCTCAACCAGTGCAGCAAGCTCCACCAGTGCAGCAAGCTCCACCAATGCAGCAAGCTCCTCCAATGCAGCAAGCACAGATGGATTCTACTTTTTCAAAAGGGACAGAACAGAAAGAGCCAGAGGAAAAGCTGAAGTCCTTTAACCTCCATGAGATGCATCGGGTATCACCTGTAAAGGAATCTTCAAGCCCTGAAGTACCGGACAGTCCTCGTGATGCATTTCAGGCTGCTTTTCTTCAGAAGCAGCTTGCTGGGAAGGCACCTGCTTCTTCACCTCGGACGTCTTTGTGGATGAATAGTGCTCCTCTGCCAACACCCTGTGTTCTAGCTCCTGCTGCAGTGGCTACAATTGACTCCTCTGAGCCACATGGAAATGAAAGGGCTCCTTCACCTGAAAGACAGGTTAGTAGGACTGTCATTATCACTCCTAAGAATTAAATTATGCATTCTGTTATAAGTATACAAGGGAGCCTTGATTGGTAACCCTTTCTTGGAATGAGATGCAGAGGGATTCAAAAGATAAATTTTGTGTTGATGCGTTGTTTAGGCAGTCATTTATGTGACATAATTAAGCCAACAGCAAAAGACAAGATGTTAAGGGTAATAAAAAAAGGGATTAGCTCCAAAATGAATACTCCCAGTTACTAATTTTCTCATTAATTTTCCTCTCCAGCCAATGTCTCCATCAGGACAAATGCAGGAAAGAGGACCTCCATCCCCATTGCAGCAACCACCACCACCCACTAATGTTCCACCTGATGTTATTCAACAATCACATTCAGTTGTAGCTCCTACAAGTCAAGAGGCAATCATGCCACATGTGTTAGCAACATCTGATGGTGTTGATCAGAGAATGGCACCACCTTTGCCTGCTGCTCCTCCAGCTCATGTTGGGAGAGAGTCTGTTACATACCCTTATGTAAATCAACAACCAGATGTCCAGCCATGTGTAGCTGATGTTTCCTTCAATGCTCACGGTGGTCTTAATCAAAGAAGATCACCACCTCTCTCTTCAGATTTGTCAGCTTATTGTAGTGGGGAGTCTGGCCCTCACCCTAAAGTAAATCACCAACCAGATATCCAGCCACATACAGCTGAAGTTTCCTACAGTGCTTCCAGAAGTCACAATCAAGGAGTAGCACCACTGGAGCCTGTGGCTCCTCCACCTCATTTGGGTGAGGAGTTTGTCCCGCACCGTTGTGTAAATCACCAACCAGATATCCAGCCATTTACTGCTGATGTTTCTCGCAATATTCCTGATGGTCATGATCAAATAGTAGCAACCCCAGAGCCTGCTGCTCCTTCAGGTTATGTGGGTGTGGATCCTGTCCCCCACTCCAGAGTAAATCACCAACCAGATGTCCAGCCACATGTTGCTAATGTAGTCTTTCCAACTCTAAGTGACAATGTGAACCATCAAGTTCCAGTAAATCCCAATGCATTGCCCCGAAGCACTGCGGAGCCACACCATGGGTCCATGGTTCTACCACCTGAAACATCAAAGACAGCTTCAATTTCAACACAGGAACAAATTATGCAACCTCCCAAGGTTGAAGCAAAACCAGAACCAACACCAATGTCATTGGCATCTTTGCTTCAGGGGGAAAAGAAGCAACCTAAAAAGAAAGCATCTGACGTTGATAAGAGCTTGCAGAATCCAGTTCCAATGCAGTCTTTCACTAACACTGTGCAGGATTCCTCATCTCCTCTCTCTGCACAAGAGAGAGACAATCATCCTTTTGATTCAAGAGGTAGAGTAGATGAGGGACGTCGGCCTGAGCATGATCCAAGTGACCCTCGTGATACTGATTCACCAGAAAATTCAAAGCGCAAAGATGATCCTTATTATGACCGAGACAGACGGGATCCATATTATGAACATGATAGAAGAGATTACAGGCGGGTGCATGAAAGAAGGGATTATGACAGACACGAATATGGCCGAAGAGAATATGATAGAATGGAGTATGACAGGATGGAATATGATTATCGGGACAGAAGGGAATTTGATCGAAGAGAGAGTGATCACAGTAGAAGAGATTATGATCCCAGGGATTATGACCGAAGGAGAAGTTATGATAGAGGGGAGAGCTACGACAACAGAGATGCCTATTACGGTTATGGGTCCCCAAGACAAGGAAGAAGGAGTTATGATGATCACAGAACTTCCAGAGAAGATTTGTACAGAGTTTCTGATCCTGCATATCCTCATTCATACTACAGTGGACGCAGTACTCCTTCATCTGATAGAAACAGTCCTTCTTATGACAACTCATCGACTTCCTACCCCTCACATCATTATGGCTATCCGTCATATCCACCATATCCATCATATCCTGATACTCAATCCATGGACATGTACCAGTATTTAACAATGTTGTACTATTACTATCCACAACACTATGATCAGTATTGTGCCCAGCTTGGATACTATAACACTGGTTACACCCCAGAGCAGATGGCTCAGTATTACAATGGAACCCAGTATCCTCCTGGTTACCAAAACTCTCAGCCAGTACAGGGTATGTATCATTGTTCTGTTGCTGTTGTTGCAATTTCTCTTTTTTTATATCTTATCCTGTCTTTTTCTTTTAAATAAATTTTCTTTTTAAACACTATGGCTGATTTCCAGGTCTCTCTCTTTTTTTTTGCCTCTCAGGTTGAAGTTTATAATTTCAGTAAAAATATATTTTTGGGGGGATGTCAGCTTTTTTAGGATTTTGGGTATCTGTGGCATTTTAACCCTTTAAACCCTAAGAACCCTGAGAGTGACCAGCATCTAATTTCTCCTCACAGTACTAATGCTGAATCACTCTTAAACATCATGAGAATTAAGGACACAATCATCAACCTGAGGAACTTGGATTGTTGAACAAATTCTCCTTGTTAGTAGCAAGGAGATTTGTAGATAAGAGTATGGAGAATATGGATACTGATTTTAGGGTGTGAAGGGTCTAAGGTCCTTTGGTTTTTGCTCTGCTCTTCAGGATGCACTTTTAGAATAACTATAGTCTTAGCTGTTTTTGTAGATATATTGGATGAAAATTGATAATTGGTGGATGAGGAAAATGTCTTAGTAATTCTTTCTCTCTGTTGTTCCCAGCTGCTCAGACTGAAGTCCAAGAATCTGAACCTGCACGACTGACTCCACAATTGTACAGAGTCCAACATCCCTTGGTGCGTTTCAGTGGTAACAGGTTGATCTCCCTCCTAGGCAGTGGGGAAGAAGATGAACAACCTAAGTGTGTAGTTGCAGCAGTTCAGGTTTGTTCAATAGATCTGAATGGTTGAAAAGTGCTATTCCACATGTTGTTCCAAACTCAATGAACACATATCAAGGGTTAGCTGCATGAAAACTTTTTTAGTGGTAGTTAAACCCAGACTAAAACAATTCATGACTCTTAAATCTGGGCCTGGAAGATTTTAATTAGCAAACGGATTCAATATTGCTGTGTGTCTGTTCAGTGATAGATCACAGATCAACGCCAAAATGTTGTAAGAACATAATTCAGCAGCACAGGAGGCACAGCTGAGAGTTTCACTGAGCTATGGTCTCACTAGATCTTGACGTCTTCTGTGATCTGTCACTGTACAGACCAGCAGTGACATGGAATCTCTTTATTATAAATGATTAAAAAGTAACATGTTGTTAATGGTGATGCCAGCTATGTTCTCCAATAGGTCTTTAGTGAGAACCAATCCAAATGGGTGGGGTGGGGGTGGGGACTCAGCTTATCATGATTTTAATGCCTACTATGGCACTTGGTATCTCAGTGGACTTGAGAAAAGGATTTTGTGTTTGGATATATGTGGCAGTAGTTTAATTATTTTATTGTAAAACATGTCAGTGTGATAAGTGTACAATTTAGGATAATAATTCCTCCTTAAGCCTGTGAAGCTCATTCTCCAAAAGAGAACATACTAAATGATATGGAGTTGATTGTTGCATCTATCTCCTACAACATTTACAATATGACAATTCAAAATGAAATTAGATACGTAGACAGTTTTTAGTATATCTTTTGTTCTTGTCTGAGCAGATGGTGTTTGATGAAGAACAGATAAATCTCATCAAAGCATTTCCAGGCCCACTTTCAAGGTTAGTTGGTCTACACCTGCTAAGACAGTTAAGGAGGGAGGCATTGGGATTTTTGGTTTTGCGGTTTTGGCTACATTTTAGATCGGTTTTTCTGTTTTGGTGTTCGTTGCGGTTTGCGGATTTTCCGAATTTTAGCATTTGGTTTTCGGTTTTCGCGAAAAATATTGACGGGTTTTCGAATATGATATTCGATGCGGTTTTCGGTTTTTCCGAATTTTAGCGTTTGGTTTTTGGTTTTCGTGAAAAATATTGACGGGTTTTCGGATTTCATTCGATGCGGTTTTCGGTTTTTCCTATTTGATCTATTTGGCTTCCGGTTTCTCTTCGATCTGAGCGGCAATTACACGCCTCCACTGATCTCGAATAGCAGATAAACGCAAATGTTATCGAGAGGAATGTGTGACAAACCAATTGAAATATCGAAGGTATCCCTAGGTAGCCTACGTATCCGTACCCTTCCCCCAAGGTGGGGGGGGGGGAGGGGAGGGTACGGTTACGCGAACATTGCCAGAGTTTCTTTATCAATGCCACCTCGAAGTTGGTGACCAAGTTACAGGCCACACGTGACAGATTGATCAACATTCCAATAGAATCTCCAAACTTTCAGTCTTAGTTCGCAAATGGAAATGTTAGATTAGGGATTTTCGATAAAACTTTCCAGGGCTATAGCTTTATGCGACTGCAAAATTGTAATCCTAGAGAGGACCTTTGTGCAAACTTCCTTGATTTAATTAGGTTCTATTACCAGTTGCTGAGTCCGCAAAGACCACGCTCGAGGTTCTCGAGAGAGCAGCTGTTAATTTAAGCAGATACTAGA